CTTAGGTGTTACTGATGGGAATGTAGAATGGAAAATCCACCTTGGAAAAACAGTTGGGCAGTTTCTCAAAAAATTAAATGGGAACACAGAATAAGAGTTATTAATTTCACTCCTAGGAACCTACACAAGAGAACTGAAAATACATGTCTACAAAAGACTTACACACAGTGGACTAATATTCTGCCATAAAGAAGAATGACATTTTGTCATTTGCAGGAAAATGAATGAATGTGGAAAGCATCATGTTGAGTGAAGTAAGTTAGACACAAAAGACAGTTATCTGAAAAGATGACATGGAGGTGGAAGGGAGACCATTTTAGACCACAGGAAGGGAATGATGAAGAAGGTAGGGGGTTTAAAGGTGGTTAATGAGAGGAGGGATATGATCAAAATATAGTATTCTCTTTGAAGCCAAATATTTTGCAAAATTAATAGGTATGAGTAATAAAAGGAAAAAAGAGACTTGCGCATGAATATTCATGACAGCATTATTCATTGTAGCTAAAGTGTTGAGACAAGCCGAGTGTTCGTCAACTGATGAGTGAACGATATGGAGCAGGTACATGCAGTGAGGAATTATCCAACAGCAGAAGGATGTAAATTACTGATATGTGCTGCAACAGCTCAACCTCGAAAATACGCAATTAAAATAGCCAGATACAGAACAATGCATATCATACTGTCCATTTACTTTAAATGTACAGAAAAGGCAAATTTATATGTACAGAAAACAAGTTGGTGGTTTCTGGGATCTAAAGGTGCTGGAGAGTTGGGTAGAGAAGGAACTGACTACAGACTTAAAACTGTGTTATGGTGATATTTGCCAAGGTTTACAAATTTAAAAATAATCACTGAGTTATACATTTACAGTCATAGGATGCATAAACTATACCATCATAAAATTGTTTAAAAATGGTTGAAATTGCTACCTGGTTCCTTTCATATTGTTATGTCAGTGGTATTATTATTTCAAAACCTTTTTCAGACAGTGTTTGAAAAAGTCTTTAGTTACAGAAACCAGAATTTAAATTGGTTTCTTTCCTTCTCTTCAAACCCCTGAGGCCCTTCACCTTTATACCAGTGGAGACATATTCAGAATATACAATTTTTTCTCCTTCAAACTAATTAAGTAAGCTCTGATGACATCACTTGTATTGTTAGCACATCTGCTTAAGTCTGTGATACTAATTAAATTCTTGAATGATTAGAAATCCAAAATGTTAAACTTGGTTCAGCAACAAGTGCTTGTCTCCAGAAGAGCAGAGGAAATATCCAGCCTCATCTAAGGCATGCTAAGACTTTTGCATTTAATACAAGTCTAATGAGAAAATGACACTAACTATAAATGGCGAAAACTTCCCTATGCATATGGGGCAACATTTCCCTTGTGAAAGCAGCATGTTTCTGGGTGTGAGCTCATTGAGAAGCGAGTTGGGTAAGCCCCTGAGCTTTGGAGTCAGAACGAAGGTCATATTCTCCCTCTGTCACATAGGTATTTTAACATAATTTCTCTAGCCTCAATATATTCATCTGCAATGTGGAACTTAATTCTCTACCTCAAAAGATTTGAGAGCCAATTAAATGAGATCATCTATGTGCCCGTGGGTATAGAATGCTGAAAGTATTTAATAAATGAAATATAGTCATAGCTTGCTTAAATAACACAAGGAATCTTGACTTGTTAGTCATTCAGCAAATGCTGACTGTCTGCCATTAGTTTATTCCTTAAATTCAGCAAATATTTTATGAATGCCTGCTGCACTTCTGGTGGTATTCTAGTGTTCAGAATACCTTCACGCATCAGCGAATTGAAAAGGACAAAAATCCATTCCACTGCAGTGCCTGCTTACATAATAATAATAAACATAATACATAATTGAATTTTATTTGTTAGATTTAGTAATAGGTCTTATGGGTGGAGAACAGAGAGATCTAGAATCATGGGAGTAGGGGAACTGATGGGTTGCAAAGCTGGGTGGTGAGGAAGGGCCTATTGAGTAGGTAAAACATGAGTAAAATCTTAACTGAGGTGGAGGAGTCAGCTGTCATTCAAAAGACAGCTGGAGACCTCCTGAGTAAGTTTCCAGTACAAAGGACCCCAGGCAGACTGTGTTAGACCCACTCCTGAAGCACCAGGGAGAGCAATGGCCATACCAGAAACTGCATATATCAATAAAGTGGGACATGAGATCAACTATGCCTCTTCACCAGCCTGTGTGATTTTTAGCTATTTAATTTTTCTGCCCTTCATGCAGTCACCTACCAAACTAGATTTGAATATCTATTTCAAAAGATAATCCCAAAGTATTAAAGCATTCGTTTATCCCAGTCACCTCTGAAGCTAGAGAATATAGAGGTTGTATTTCAGCAGTGCAAGCTGAATAGAGATTGCTATTTTATTTCATCCTGCTTCTTATCTGTTCAGTTGAACATGGCATCTCCTGTACCGAGCCTGTTCTATTATATCCCAAGATTGGTGGAGGCAGCCAGGGGACTTGCTGGCACAGAAGAGTGATTCTGGGAGGTGAAAAAAGGTATCGTGGTGGACAAGCTAGGCATAGTATCTTCTCTATTCTAGACATTTGTTGGACTGGAAAGAAAGATTCAAAGTGGAGTAGAGTTTTTAATATGGAGGATAAATTTTACACATATATGAATGTGTGTATCTGTGTATTTTATATGAGTTTTTCTCAGAAGCAACTAGGCATCAAAGATGACAAACACTTATACCACTTTTGCCAGACATTCCCAATAAATTGTGGATTGAGGCTGAGAGAACAAGGGAGGGTCCTACATGGTAATTCCTTCGATGTTTATATTCTCAAACTTTTGTCTTGCTGCTGGCTGGATATAACTCATAGAGTGGAAAGCATATGGAACTGAGGATCTGAAGACTTTGGTTCAACAACTTCCCCTTCAAGATCTAGCTGATTTGGGCTTTCATCTAAATCTCCTGAGCTTTATTGTCCTCACCTATATAGTGACAGTTTACCTCTACAGTGTCTGCCTCCCTGATGCCCAGGGTCAAAGGAAGAAATGCATTTGAAATCATTTGTTAAGTTATGGTGGTAAACCCAAGGTAAGGTGACGACTCAGTGTTGAAGAAAGAGGCTGATGGAAACTGGGCAGTAATCGGTCGTCTGTTGTAGCAGGAATGGCTCTGGTGTTTCTCCCCACAGTTGATGCATGGTGCTAACTTAGGCATGTTAGTTAATTTTGTTTTGCTGGGGGCTCAGATGAGACTCCCTGATGCTCCAGCGCTCAGACTGGAGGAGATGGCCTCTTGACAGGTGAAGTTTTGGCTATTTCAAAGTTATCTGCCTAAAGAAACCCTGCTGAGACTTGGAAAGTGGGATGAATAGAGGACACTTTTTCTTTTAACGCTGTTGGGTTCCATGTCAACCCAGTTTTCCAGTCATCTGAGTCTTACATGCGAGGCACGTCTGCATATACTGTAGTAACAAAATGGTCGTTGTGGATTCTGGGGCCTTTTTTCCGAGTACTCAGACCATCTGTGGTGAGAGTGAGGAGCAAGACAGTGACATCTTCTTCCAAAGAGGAAAACACTTGGAGTCAAACTGAAGGCAATTCTTGAGGGAAAAAGAGTTATTCAGACTAATAGCAGTAAGATCCTGTAGAAGATGATGTGTGTTTTGTTAGGACATATCAGTGGAGGTGGTAGAGAAAAATCACTAAATCTTCAGAATATTGCATCTGATCGTGAATGTGAGGCAGGTGAACCTTTGGACTTGCGGATTAGTCTCACCCTGAAATCTAAGCTGCTCTGAAATAGGAGCAAAGCTTTCACACGTTCTCTTTCCGGGGCTGACCCCTGAGCCTGGCTTCTCACAGTCACTCGGTCTGTGTAACTGAATGCAATGGTGGCCCTGGCATGTCCCCACAGCCAAGCTGGTGGGGGTTACTCCTGGGTTTTCTTTTAGAGTAACTCCCCTCAGTGTCCTATAACCCTTAAGCTATGGGGGAGATTTTCACTTGGAGAAAATATGTGTCTTCTTTGCTACTTATTCACTTTAAACCTGCTTGCAGTACCAGTCCAAGCTAGACAGGGGCCAGGATGTAGGCGCGTTGGAATCTCTTTGTATAATACTGCCATCCCCAATCCCACTTGGTAGTCCTGGGGTTCTTGGAATGGCTCAAAGATATTTGTGACTCAGGTATCAAAGGCTGGAAGATTTTTAGGAGGGACAGGTGTTAAATCTATTTGGTGACTTTTTAAAAATGTTTGCATTCTGTTAGTACACACATTACATGGCTATGTTATAAGCTTCCTAGACTCTCTAATGACTGTTTGGATGTATGAAACTGTAAATCACCCCATCCCCCAGGGTAGGTGAGAGAGGTGCACCGCATTTTGCTTCCCAGATCTTCCTGTTAAAACTTCCTCATATTATTTCAATTAATTTTAGTCGTGATCTGTTTATCAACAGTGAAGTTCCTCGCTTTTGCTGTAACGTGTTTTCCTGATTTCATCTGCTCTTAACATTTGCACTTTTCTATTAACAGAAAACACATGTAATTTTTGTATGTACCTCTTAACATCATAGGTATTAAAATGCAAAATTGTTTACTGGGAGATTTTACACTAGTTCCATATTATATTTTACATAACACTTTATTCTTAAACAGTATTTTGCAGAGATTTTAATTAATATCAATTTATCACTAGGCCTCTTATAGAATCTCTCAAATTCTTTCTAACCTGCCCCAGTCATAAAATCATTATGATTTCCTGTGTCAGGAAGTGAAGTGCTGATATAAATTTGCCTTTTTGGAATTTTTCAGTCCGGGAGATCAAATATAAAGGGGAAGAATGTTAGTCTCGGTGAAAGGGATTAGTTAGAGGCTTCCAAGATGATTCTATTTTCATTTTAAGTCTCCGTTTGCTAAGGTACTGAACTAAGAGGGCCCACCCTGTTTCTTTGTGACAGGTGTTTTGCTCTGATGTGTAGTATCTGATGGGATTTCTTGTGTCTCTGCAGACTGAATCACCCTCGCTTCCTCCACAAGGGAAGTGGTAGAGCCAGCAGGAACTGAAAAGGTAAATGTCACCATATCCAGCATGCCAGTCTCTGAAATTAAACATGGAATGAACAGATTGCAAAGTGTCATAGTCATACAGTTTATACAATTCATTAAACTGCATTTAAATTAAAAGTAAGTGATAACCCACTTGTTTAAAAATTAATTGAACATGGGCTATTATATTGAATTGAAATACTTAAACTTTGCTTGTATTGAGTAAATACACTCAATACAGGACAGGAGAAAACCCCACAGACTGAAACTGGTGTGTTGCTTTTGTCCTACAGAGCTGGGGCGAAAAACCAGTGCTATATCCCCAGCTCTTTTAATATTTTTATTCTGAAATTTGTCACACTGTCGGGACTCAGATATTACAGGTGTGTGCCACTGTGTCCAGCTTCACCAGGCATTCTGTTTTTTTACATAGCAACTGAATTTAAAAGAGAGTTTAAAAAGGGGGAAATCATTAACGGGGGTGGGGGAGGAATCTCCCAAATAGTGAGTATTATAATGGGGAGGACGGAGACCCAAGCATCATTCTTGGGCCATGGTTTGGAATGGCATTAACACTTGACTCCTCAGGGGCCAGGCACTGATCAGAGAGGGTTCTAGATAGACTCAGAGCTGATTCTTAAAGATGACTAGAAAATACTCCCCAAAGGGAGGTGATGGAGATGAGGAAGAGCACTTCAGGCAGAACAAGCAGCATGTACAAAGGCCCAGCATGGTAAAACAGCTCAGGTATCTCCTCCCTGGAAGCCTTTCTGGTTTCAACCAGAAGAAATTCACCTTTCCTTTCTCAGCCTTGCCGTCCTTTGTGAGAGGGTTTGTGTTTTCTGTGATGTGGAAGCCCAGTAAGGTGCTAGGTGGCAGGTGGGTTATGAAACAGACCCCAGACACATTTACTAGTGGAGCAAAGGACCCAGATATTTTTGCCAAAGATTGAAAAGAAACACATCAAACATTTCAACATGTCTTTCATGCACAGCAGCATTTTTCTACGTATGTATTTAAGGAAACTCTGCAAATTAGCTCATGTAACCCAGAACACAGGTGTCCACTTCCTGCGACAGAAAATAAAAACATGACAGTAGCCAAATGGAAAATAAAAATTCCTTGCATTCCTTGAAGGTTATCCCCTTAGCCAATCCATCCTGCTTAAGTGTGTGAGGAAAACCTCGACAGTACATACCAGCAGTCTACTACATTTGAATGTTATCTTTTAGGGGAGACAGATTGTCTCATATCTGATGTATGGTGCTATTTCCTAGTGCTTAAATTATTATGAAATTTACAGTGTTATGTGAATAATTAAGTAGGACCCTGCTTTCTTCGCTTTGGAGCACAGAAAATGAGGGACCTTGGATTGTTATAGGAGAGAACTTCCACTAGTATGATTAGGATGGGAGAAAGTCTAAGCAAAGATAGTAACTTGGAGCAGTTAGTTTCTAGTGCTTTAGGATGCAGATACATTTCTGCATTGTTGTTGTTGTTGTTCGAAAATGTTGGCTGCCAGTTTTCCAAAATATCATAAGTAGAGGTTTTGTTGCTGGAGGGAGGGGGAGAGCATTTGGAGAATTATACTTTGCTCATTAGCTGTCTAAGGGTTCAAAGTGGTTTGAGTCTTTGAATGCCAGCAGTTTTTATCATGTCTCTGAAATTAATGCCACATATTGTTTCTGTCTTTCATATTCTTGTGACATTGCCTGCATGACCTGGCCACTCAAGGGCTTTTTTTTCCAGTTCTCTGATGACCTACATTAGCTTTTCTGTACCTGAGAAAGTCCATATCTAGCTCTCATTTGGGAAATTCGTCTTTTCAGGCCAATGAGGAGAATCCGGTCTCCTTTGCCTGCTTGTCTTTGGAGCTGAATTAACACCAGGATTCCTTTCTGATCTGCTGGGGTTTGGTGTCTGCTCTCCTACGCCACCTGCTGGAACCAGATCCCCACAGGAGAGTCCAGCCTCTTACCCCAGAGTCCTAGCAGGAGCCAGAGCCAGAACCTCAGCTAAAGCAAATGATATTCAGGCTGCCAGATTCCCGTCCAGACCTTATCTATGCTGCCTCCACCGACTCCTGAGCTCAGCAGCCCAGGTGTCCTCGGATGACGCTGTAAATCACGCAAACCCTGAGCTCCTTGACCAGAAGGTCAGAGCCTGCCACTTGGATGCTTGGTGACTTGCAGCTCCTGCCCATGTCGGAATGTGTGGTCATTGGAGGCCGCTGTCTCCTTAGCAAAGAAGATGTCACCAGACACCTAGAACGGTCCTTTAATGGGTTTCCTATTGTGTCCCCAATATGTCTTCTGATTGAGACACTCAAGTTTCTCCCAAGATGCTCAGGAATTAGAAACTTTGCTTTTTATTGTTTAGGACTCTGGACTTCCTATATTCCCATAAAAGTTGGTGATTCTAACCAAATAACCACGAAGACAGTGAAATTCTGCTTTTTATTAGCTAAATTAAATAGTGAACCAAATTACCCCCTGTTCTAGGTTGATGGTCTCTTGATTGCAGTTGTTTACATTTATTTCTTTCCTGTCTCACGCAGCCTGAACAGAGCAGGTGCTTCACAAAAGCTTGTGTAACAAACAGACTCTTTCTGGCCAAAATCGTTTTTTGAAACTTTTCTATTTTTCCATAAAAGGAAAGCCAGAATTGAAAGTTCATTCCTATGTAAGGCCCTTCCCCCCAATAAAGCTGACTTGGTAGAAAGAAAAAATGAAACAGACTAGTGATTTCTACTATCTTTTTGATAAAAATGAAGATAGTGACCAGCTGTTGTCTCCTGAAGTTAGCAAAAGAATGAAATATACACATATTGGTTAGGTAGGAGATAGAACTTCCTGACAGCAAAGGTTACAGGCAGCTCATATGAGACTCAAGGCAACAAGTTCTTTAAATTTCTAATTTTCTTCCTCTAAAAGAGAAATGTGCCCAGGATGCTAAGGGAATGCAATGAAAGGGAATCCTTATTTGAGCCGTGTAGGTAGGGAAGGCTTCCAGGAGGAGGTGGTGCTTGTACCAAGTTTTCCCATAGGACGAGGATGTCCAGATGAGTACAGACTCAGTGCATTCCATGAGAGGTCAGCAGGTGTGCAGACCACTTCAGGCCACAGGAGCTCCTTGCAGCCCTCTTCAGTTGAGTCATCTGAATTACACTGTTGTCCTGCAGACCTGTCTTACTTACTGGTGGGCAAAAAAAAGGGGGCACAGTTTTCTTTCATGGTGGACGTGTCATCTTGGTGCAGCAGCTTCTTGTAGATTGAGCAGGGAACAGGGAACGGGATGTGGAGACTCCTGTATTTTCATGTTGCTAACGATCACAACAACCTTTGAAGCAGCCTTTCTGCCAACTTTCAGGGACCTGTAGATCTGGCTACTTTTGATGCTTCAGATTTCATGTAACTGGGAGCTGCCCACAAAGCCTGGACTGAGAGCCATGCAGGGCACCCCTGAGAGGAGTGCCGGAACCAGGATCTGCCACTTGGCTGTATGATAGCAGCTACTGTTTGAATTCCAACGGATTATTTTACCCAGCCCATTGTACAGATGTGAAAACTAAGGCTAACTGTATGGAACTACTTTCTAGATAGTGAGAAATAACCTACAGTAGTTATTATTATTATTTTTGCTATTATTATTTAATTCTAGCTTCTCATTTCAGCGCTGCAGCATCTGCGTTGCTGGAGTGGGAAACCCTGACAGGCATTTTTCCCAGAGACAGGCACTTGTGGAGCGGCTGCAGGCCAGTTGGAAATGGCCTGTTTCCACTGGATACCCTGCCTCTTGGCTCGCAATGATGGGAGTGGGGGTTCCCGCCTGCTCCGGGAGCTCATTCAAGTCCAGCCATGGCAGCTGGTGTCCTCAAGGCCCCGGGCCATCGTCAGAGAGAGGAATTTGAGGCAAACAAAGCAAGCAGCAGAGGTGGCTGCAGACCTGGGCCCTCGGAGCCCACTCGCAGGGGGCGGGGCCCGCAGATTCTGTGCCAGGCGCTGTGTAGCTTCTGCACCCCCTTCCCAGGCCTCTCAGCCCGTGGGCTGGCTTTCAGAGTGCAGCATCCTGAATGGGTCTTTGTGTGCACCCCAGGAGCTGGCTCAGAGGAGCCCCAGTGGAAATGCTGCCCAGCGATGTCTCCTCTGGATCCAGGCGCAGACGGGCCTGGGGCCCAGCTTGTGGGCACTGGGCCCTTTCGGTGCCCCTTTAGCACTCAGGGTCTGGGAGCCAGCAGGCTCCTGATGAATAGGAGAAACACTCTGCCACCTTGTGTAGTGGGGTCTCAGGCAGGGTCTGGGGGTGGCACCTCCTCTGTCACTTCCCCAGCGCGCTGTTTCTCACTCGGTTTTATTTTTTCTCCCTGGGATAGATTTTTACCTAACTGCCTGTCTATTTCAGACTAGGCTCAAACTTGCGATTCTCCTCCTCACCCTCCCAGATTACAGGTGTGCACCGCCACACCTGGCTTCAGCTAACTTTGCCCCTAGTGATGACTGCAGGAATATTCATCACAAGAGGTGCCCTTCCGTTCCATGGTCGCCCCTGAGGTATCAGGGGCTGTGTTGAGAACTTAATCTCCTTTAATGAAACCTTTTAATGAATCCATCCTGTGTGATATTTTAGCTCACAATCCCCATTGTGCAAAAGAGAAAACCAAAGTTTGGAGGTGGTAAGCACCCCGAGTAGTTCTACACAGGAGGCCGCGCACAGATGGGCTGGATCTCGGCCCTGAACTCACCTCTCCCATTTTCCAAGGATCTCTTGGCAAGCATTGAAGTCTCAGGCCACTTGTACCCCAGCAATCTGAGAAATCGCCTGTGCTCAAGGGGCTGCTGCTGGAAAAGTACCCAGGCCTGTAGCCTTCTGAACCGCATTCTGTTTACCTCACCACCCTTTCGTGCTCTGTTTTTCTTCTTCTCTTCTAAGCAAAGGTGACATTTTATTTTGTATGATACAAGAAACATTGGTGATATAGAAGGAAAACATTGGCAAACTAAATATTGAAAATTGTGTGGAAGA